GGAGGGAGGGAGGGAGGAAGGAAGGAAGGAGGGAAGGAAGGAGGAAGGAAGGAAAGAAGGAAGGAGGGAAAGAAGCAGGAAGGAAGGAAGGAAGGAAGGAAGGAAGGAAGGAAGGAAGGAAGGAAATGCAGGAAGTATAGTTGTATGTCTGCCATATTCTCCAAAACAGCTCTAGTTCCTACTCAGTACTTGTGATGGTTGTTCTTGGTTGTCAACTTAAGTACATTTGGATTGAGCTACAACCCAGAAATGGAGGGCACACCTGTGAGACATTTTCTGCTTGGTTTAAAGTGAGTGAATCAACTTCTTGTCGGGATGTTTGAGGCAGGAAGACATGTACCTTTGATCTAGATATTGAGTCAGAAAGATGCACGCCTTTAATTTTAGTCTTAAGGTGGGAAGACAGCCCTTTAATATACTTCATACCTGCTTCTGGATGCTTATATAAGGACATAGAAGAAGGAAGCTTTTGCTCTTTGCCCATTTGCCTTCACCTTACTTGCACATCAATTCCTTCACTGGCATCAGAGAATAGTTCTTTGGGGATTCCAGCATATCCAGAAGACCAACTGACACCTCCAGCTTGTGGGACTGAGCTTTCTTGGTACTGTAAAATGAGATGAGTGAGGACCATGACAGGTGATAGAATATACCATGCAGAGAGAGCCTGAGTGTGGATATAAAGGGAAAGGGAAGGGAAGAGAACATGGGAGAGACAAGGAGGGAGGAGGTGAGAAGCAGAGAGATCTGCATCTTCAGAAGAATGATCTGGAAGTGAAAAAGATCAGGAGTGGGCAGAGCTTGACTCCTACAGGAATCTTTGCAACTGAGCACAAGCCAGTACCCTGGGCTGGCCAGAATACAGCCTGGGTACATTCTGTCAGATGACAGGCCAGACCAGCATAATGCCTGAATTCTAACATTTGGACTTCCCATTCACAGCTAGCCATTGTTGGATTAGCTGGACTGCAGCCTGTAAGTCAATCCCGTAAATGACAGTTATGGCATATATTTTATGTATATATTGCAAATGTAATATGTTATGCATCATGTATATATTATACATATAATATATAACATAAACATATAATGTATATATTATGTAGATAATATATCATATATGTACACATTATATATATTAGAGAGAGAGAGATTCATTCTCTAAGTTCTGCGCCTCTAAAGAACCCTGACTAATACAATACTTCTGTTAACTAACTTCTATGATAAACTCCATATTTAGATCCCAATGACTGGAGGCTCTAGTGAAACAAAGCCCAGATAAGATTAAACCCAGCCTAGCCTTAATTAATTTTACTTATTTCAGGTAGCACATGCATGCTTTTACGTTACTACTTTATAACAAGAATTTGTTGTTAAGCCTAATTCTTTAGATTTTAAAATTTTAAAATGATTATTGTAATTTCAGTATAGTCTGTTTGAAAGTTACTTCCATAACCACTTAGCATATGTGTTCTTCCGCATAGTAGTTAATGATAAAGGAATAGCACATAGTGTATGAATTTGGAATCTGGCCTTAAGAGGCAACATAGAGTAGATCACTCCTGTGATCCTTGTATATAGGAAGTTGATGTACAGTATTGCCAATTAAAGCTCAGCCTGCTATATTTAGTGAGTTCTTCCAGATGCCTCTGGCTGTTCACTCTATCTTAATTACAGTAAAAACCTAAACCATATTGTAGAGTTGTAAAGTTGGTAATTTTTTAGCTGCACCCCCTCAAGTGGATCTGGTGCAGAAAACTGGGGATATGTATGAGTGTTTGACACCAGATATACGGAAGAGGGGTGCAGTAAAGAAACTCCTGACATAAGCACTCTGCAGTGTGCTCAAGGGGAAAGTGATTTTTTGGTCTGTTTTGTTTTGTTTTGTTTTATTGTGCATAAGAGAGAAAATATACAGAGGCATCTTCCAAAGTTAAAAGCAGAGAGGGGAGGTGGTAGACTGGACATGGCTAGTGAAAAGGGGATACTAGCCAGAGACAGAGACTAGACAGAGCCCAGAATAGTGAGAACAATCAGGTTATAGGGGTGAGGAATATAATCGTTACAGCTTAGGTGGAAGGTTATCCTGGCAGTCAGGAGTTAAGGAATACCACAAAGTTATAGCACATAACAAACCTTACACAA